ATTAAATTAAATTAAATTAAATTAAATTAATTAAAAATGTATATATATATAGAAGTCTTAATTGACTATATATGACATTTATGAGAACATATAATCTGAGATTTAGCAGTATTAACCCCAACGGATTAAATGAAATTTATGAAACCTACATATATATTTCTCACAAAACAACATAAATAATTTCAAAGAAAATAATAAATTTTACTTATTTTATTTCAGTCTTCTCATTTTCATTTAGATTAAATTGAAGCACTAAAATAACTAAAACTGAAATAAAACAAAATAAAAACTATATAGATATATTAATATAAACGTAGTATAAATATTATGAATATTATAAATAAATAAATATTTTTTCCTAGTATAAATATTATAAATATGATTATTAAATATAATAGATATGACAACAGCACATAAAAACTAAACACTTTTAAGTTAAAATGAAAATATAAAAATAAAAGCTAATTCAAAATAGTAACAAAAACTGTAATCATTTATAAATTATGCTTAAATAAATCTGATAAGAACATGATTATGGGTCATTCATACTGAAAATGCAAAGTATTATTTGAAACTAAAACAGTTGTATTTTTACTTTACTTTCAGATGAAAAAGAGTGATCAGTTTTTCATGCTTCAATGGTTCATCAATAGGTGAACATATTCATGTTTAGCAACAAAATTCAGTCCCAAAAGTATTTTTGACAGCTAATGGTACTAAATACAAACCTGAACACAAAACATGGTTATAGCTCTTAAAAATCTCCAAAAAACAACAATAAAAATAAATGATGTGTATTTTGAGGGTCTTTTTGCAAAAGGATTTGCAAAGTTTCGTTCCCTTACGAAAAACTACGCATTTTTTAAAGAAGTTTAATATATCTTTTCTGGGTCGAAATGGCCTCGAATGCATTATGAGGGTTAATTTGTTTCACAGATTCATCAGTGCATGTTACTCAAAAGACGAAACATTAAAGGTGACATATTATGCCCCTTTTTACAATATGTAATATAAGTCTCTGATGTCCCCAGAATGTGTCTGTGTTTCAGCTCAAAATACTCCACAGATCATTTATTATATCATTTTGAAAATGCCTATTTTGAGTGGAAGCAGAAACACGCTGTTTTTCGTGCCTGTCTCTTTAAATGCAAATGAGCTGCTGCTCCCCGCCCCCTTTTCCAGAATAGAGCTGTGCCATTACAGCTCGTACCTGCTAAAAACCAAAGAAAATAATAAATTTTACTTATTTTATTTCAGTCTTCTCATTTTCATTTAGATTAAATTGAAGCACTAAAATAACTAAAACTGAAATAAAACAAAATAAAAACTATATAGATATATTAATATAAACGTAGTATAAATATTATGAATATTATAAATAAATAAATATTTTTTCCTAGTATAAATATTATAAATATGATTATTAAATATAATAGATATGACAACAGCACATAAAAACTAAACACTTTTAAGTTAAAATGAAAATATAAAAATAAAAGCTAATTCAAAATAGTAACAAAAACTGTAATCATTTATAAATTATGCTTAAATAAATCTGATAAGAACATGATTATGGGTCATTCATACTGAAAATGCAAAGTATTATTTGAAACTAAAACAGTTGTATTTTTACTTTACTTTCAGATGAAAAAGAGTGATCAGTTTTTCATGCTTCAATGGTTCATCAATAGGTGAACATATTCATGTTTAGCAACAAAATTCAGTCCCAAAAGTATTTTTGACAGCTAATGGTACTAAATACAAACCTGAACACAAAACATGGTTATAGCTCTTAAAAATCTCCAAAAAACAACAATAAAAATAAATGATGTGTATTTTGAGGGTCTTTTTGCAAAAGCATTTGCAAAGTTTCGTTCCCTTACGAAAAACTACGCATTTTTTAAAGAAGTTTAATATATCTTTTCTGGGTCGAAATGGCCTCGAATGCATTATGAGGGTTAATTTGTTTCGTGCGTGTTTGTGAAAAGCATGTTTCTGAGCTAAAACAGCTCTGATGATACAGATCAAACATTGAACATCTTACTATTCCTTCTTCAGGATCCCCTTCCCCTCGGGATCGAACACTTTGAAGGCGTTGAGGATGGTTTCCTCCGGATCGGCTCCTGCAATCAAACAAACCTCCATCAGCAGCACCTCCATGAATCAAACTCTCTCAAGATCACACTGAAGGAAACAGGTCTCGTCTCCAGAAAACCTGCCTTTGAGTTTCTCTCCGAACATTGTGAGGAAGATGGTGAAGTTGATCGGGCCCGAGGCCTCCTTCAGCATCTCATCGATCTCCTCCTGCTTCACACTGAGCCGCCCTGTTACCAGACAGAAGAGGAGCATGATGGGAAATGTGTGCTAGCTCAATAGTTGCCATCAAACCTGACCAGAGTTTCAGAGTTTTTAAATCGGACTTTTTTTTGTCTTAATGAGTCCCATTTCTGTTTGATGTTTCCTCTAATTTGACTATATAATATCAATATATATTTTTAAAAATCTTTTAAAAAATGTAATAAAATAATATATATGGTATATAAATAAGTATATATATGTATATAAAGTATATAAAAAATATATATATAAAATAAAAGTGGCTATATCAGAGTTTTCAAATTCGAGTTTTTAACCATATATATGTGTTACGTATCCGGTCCATGAACTTCCGTCTGCTA